ATTTCACGTAAAATATGCATTTTTCAGATTTGGTTAAAATGCCTAGCGCTTGATGTGGAGTGGAAAGGGAGCATGTTGCATAAATGCAAAGCAATCCTTTGAAACTTTTCACATTGGTAAATACATGCTAAAAAGTATAGTGTATTTCATATGCAAAGGCAAGCGTGTGGAGGAGTCTAAATGTTGGCATCGCTTTCAGAATAATAAGAAAAATTAACTTCAGAAAGACTAAAGAAAAATAGAAAAAAAGAGGTTGCACTGGTCAGTGCCTGGATGAGTTGTAGAACTTGCATCTTTCACCATAGTGATAATTAGATGTGTCTGCCCAGAATTATTGGGATGCTCACACTCAGATAATCAAACTCTCAAATGGCTCCATAATGGGGACATATGATAGTTGAAAATGTCCTAATAGTGGGGCAGCTGATATGGAAAAATGGAATTTCCATTTCTCTATATGGAAAGAGTATAAATTAACCTGATAGTTGGATGTGTACATGTTTGATTTACTGTTACATGTTCTCTGATACAGTATCATGCATAACAATTCTTATGTAATTAAAATAATGTTTATCAATCAAAAGCAAGTTTTAATGTGAGGAAGAGGAGTGAAATTATTTTCTGCAGTTCTTATAAGTAAAGAGCTGATTTCCAAGGTCACTTTTTGTTTAAAAAAAGTAAGACAGACGTAACAGCCTCAGAAACTGGCTGTAGATGACAAGTTATGGAGTTAACCTGTGATAGCCGGAGACTCAGCTTTTTCCCCCTAATATTTCCTAGATGACTTATGCCTGGAATGCTGACGATTTAGGTTTAAAAGAGCAAAGTTCCTAAGGGTTCCAGTTAGTGGTCAGTTAGGGAGTTGACTAAAGCATCCATTGAAAGCAAAGCTAGAGATCTGAATGATTCCATATCCTCTCAGATCTATGACTGTTTGTTCAATGGCCATAAGCCCTAGACGTGTCAGCGTGTGGCTGCCACCATGCATCACTGTGCCTTGAGAAACAACTTAGACTGCCGGTGTCTTGACTTCTTTACATACAAAGCCTCATCCATTATTAACTCCCTGGCATTTTGAGTTCTCCCTACCACCATACCAGTTAAAAAGTATTTTGTTGTTGGAGAGTTGGTTAAAACTCATTTCAGATCTTCTTTCCTTAGACAAACTTCTGCTTTTTGAGACAGCAAACTTAATGATCATGAATTTCCTTTAAAGTAAACAAAACAAAACAAACATTAATACCTATGTCAGAAGGTTTTTGTGAAAGGTACAAACTTTCACTTATAAAATAAATGTCATGAGAATGTAATGCACAGAATGGTGACTATCGTTATTAATACTGTATTGCATGTTTGAAAGTTGCTAAGAGAATACATATAAAAAATCGTCATCGTAAGAAAAAAATTGTAACTGTGCTTGGGTTATTAATTAGACTTACTGAAGTGATCACTTCCTAATATAAACAAATGCTGAACCATTATTTTGTACATTTGAAACTAATATAATATATGTAAATTATACCTCAGAGGAAAAAAAAGGAAATTGTTGTCATAATTAGCTGAGATGGTATATGCAGTATTCATAGTACAGTGCCTGACAAAAGATGGGCAATTAGTAGCTATTCACTGAATGTATGTTTTCATCCAAGTATAAAGAGAAGTATAAAAGGAAGTTCTATAGGAAAACAAACAATGTTAGGTATGAAATCCAGATGAATTCATTTTATACAGCTATCCTTTCAAGATGCAGTCTGGTTCTGAGGGAGGGTATAGCTCGGTGGTAGAGTGTGTGCTTAGCATGCACAAGGTCCTGGGTTCAATCCTCAGTACCTCCATTAAAAATAAAGAAATAAACCTAATTACTCCCTCCCCCAAAATAAATAAATAAAAATAAAATAATAAAGATGCAGTCTGGTTCCAATCAAATCACAAGAGAACAAAGGCAGAAAAATCCTAGAGCAGTGCTCCTCAAATTTTACCTGCATACAAATCACCTAGGGATCTTTCTAAAATGCAAGTTATCATTCAGTGGGTGGGATCTGAGAGATTGCATTTCTAGCAAATTCCAGGCAATGCATATGCTGACCGTCCAACAAATACACTTGAATACATGTAAATTTAAAAAATACTGAACTTAAATCCATATTTGCCTAGTCTAACATTTCTTTTCCTGGAACAGCAGCTTAAAATTAATTGATTTATTCATGTAGCAGAAGATTTGGGTCTGTTAGGTGCCAGGGACTGTTTTAAGTTCAAAGTATAAAACAGTGAATAAAGCAAATAAGGATCATGCCCATAATGGGCTTTTAATCTAGTAGTAGGATCAGATAATAAACATCTAAACAATTGAAATAGTTTCTAGTGATGATTAAAACTGTAAGAAAGATAAAATGAAGTTACTGTGAGATTCCTTATGGACAGTGAAGGCTCCTCCGGCCAGGAGACAGTTGAAGTGAAACCTGAATGTTGAGAAGCAGTCTGTGTACAAAGTGAAGAGAGAATGCAGATGCCCTGAGGCAGTAACGAAACTGGTCTGCAGGAGGAAAGGGAAAAAACCCATTGTGGCTAGAACATAATACCATTATTTGGATGCAAGATTGTGATGGGCAACCAGGAGCAATCAGAGGCATGGGGCAAGGTTATAGGTGACAAAGTTGGGGTTAGTGCAGCCAGGGCTGAAACCTTGGAGGCTGGATCCAAAGTGAGTTTTTGGATCCAACAGCTCCACAGAGGGTTAAAGTGGACTCTAGGAGGAATGTACCTACAGAAAGGTACACCTGGCTAGGCAGAACAAGATGAGTGAAAAAGAGCTAATAACATCAAGTCCGAGACACAGATTGGAAACAAATAAAAAAGAATAACTCAAAAAGCAAAGAAGGTTAAAATTGTATGTCTCGTGGTTTACACTACAAGAAACGGAAATTTATTATGTTATGCCATGCAAATTAATCTACTAGCACACAGGTGGCACATTCTTCTTAAATGCCGCTGAATGAATTTTTCTGATTCGAAATGATTACGTAACTATTAGAGAAAACGTAAGATTGTAATTCCTGGCTGACTATAAGCTGCAGCCCCAAACTTACCTTACTTTTCACAAAATATTGGAAATGAAAGTGACAGAGGGTAGAGAGAACAATAAAAGATAGCAAAGAAGGAGATAAGATATGCAAGCCCCTCCTTGCACTAAGAAAAATGTAGTAAACACAAGAGCTTAGAGCACTCCCTCACACCATACACAAAAATAAACTCATGGGACTTAAACATAAGACACTAACACTGTAAACCTCCTGGAAGAAAACATAGGCAAATGTTCTCTGACATACATCTTAACAGTGTTTCCCTAGGGCAGTCTGCCTAGGCCCTAGAAATGAAAGTAGAAATAAACAAATGGGACCTAATTAAACACAAGAATCATTATTATGTAAATTGTGAAATATTATGTGCCTTGTATTATAATGATTTTTGTACTCTACCTACCATACAGTCTAGTATATCATTTTATTGGGATATAAGCCAAACCCTAACGCCAATAAGAGCAGAATTAAAAGAGATCTTTCAGATCAGAGTAACTAAGGAATAAACGATATAATGACCCAACAGTCAGTCATTTGAGTGAGTCTTAGGATTGAGCAAGTCTGATAATTTGAAGCCTTGCGAACTAGTGGCTATTAACAGGTAAGTACATTCTAATTGACTTCTGATTTTGTCTAATGATTTAAGGCCCTGCGAAGTAGTAGCTATTAACATGTTACAGCATTTCGAATTGTCTTCTGATTTTCTGTCTTGTTTTTCACATATATGAATAAAGGACTGTTCATTAAAATGATATTTCTAACCTTCCATCAGTGGCAAACAGCTTTGAGCTGTTTGCTTGTAGCAATGAAGAAAGGCATGATTAGTCACCCTTTCTCACCTGAATACCTAATGTCTCAGGGCATAAATATCCAGAATTACGGATATATTCCATGGCAAAATAGCAGATTAATTTTACCTGTTTGTGTATTGTTTTACTCCAATCCATTGGCCTCATTAGCCTCTACATTAACCAGCTAAGACACAGAATTCAGACTCTTTTCATACTGTATTCTGGTCATTTATTTGTAATTATTTTAGTTATCTTTGACGTTTATTAGCAGCAACAATATTTTCTTTCTTATTGACCTGTATATCTCATTCAGTCATTCAACAAACACTAACAGAGTGCCAATGACTTAAGCTTTGAGGGGTAATGGAGAAAGTAGAGTGAGATGAAGCTAGAAAAGGAAACAAAAGCTGGGTCATTTGAGGTCTCATAAACTTTGAGAAATCTGGTCTTTTTCTGAAGAGCAACAGGAAACGGCTGAAGAGTTTTAAGTGACACCATCTTAACTTCTGCCATTAGCTTACCTTGTTGTGTTTTTCCCCTCTCCCAGTGGGACCTTCATAACCTGCGGTTTTATAAAGCTATCCTATCATTTATATTTCCTGGCTATTTCCAACTAAAAAACTAATTTTTAACTGAAAGAAGAAGGTTGCCAATTTTATAAAAATTAATTCTTTGGGAGACATTAGAAAGTTTGCAAAAAGAGATACCTATGAATTGGTTCATGAAAACCTATGATACATGCTGTGGATAGATTCATTATTTGTCAATGATGGCTCATGTCCAATAACAAAATAAAGGAAAGAGGGACATATTTCATTGATGTTCCTTATTGCAAGATTAATAAGTATAAAAATCACTTACAGGGCAATGTCAACATAAAAATACTTGTACTTGATCTACACACCTAAGCATCAATAATAAAGAAGGTTAATTTAGGGATCTGTCTGTCTGTCTGTCTGTTCCTGGTGTTCCTTTAACATCTGACCGTAGTAAGCTGTCACTCTTTTGGCTTTGTTTTTACCCAGGAACAAAAGGGAAATAACCTAATTTATCTTGGTACCCATCTGGTTTCAGTTGCTCATTTTACATTTATTTAAAAGTGATAGACTGTTGGTGATGATGTCTTTCCCAGGAGAAGAAGTTGACCGACAGCTATGCAGAGATGCCATCTTCCCCATCCCTGTTGCCTGCGATGCCCCTTGCCCCAAGGACTGTGTGCTCAGCATGTGGTCTGCGTGGTCCTCTTGCTCCCACACCTGCTCAGGGAAAACCACAGAAGGAAAACAGATACGAGCACGGTCCATCCTGGCTTATGCAGGTGATGAAGGTAAGGTTGCCAGCTTCAGAAGGGACTTAAGTATCTTCCAGAGGTTGGCATGCATTTTCTTTGTCTAGCCTGGATAAAATGATTTTCTTCAAAAATCAATTTTCAGCAATCCAGCAATACAAGGAGATTTCATATCTGTTCACATATTGGTCAGCTTGCTCCTCTTCCCCAAAATTAACCTTGAAAATAGACCTTCAATAAAAAGAAAAGATTTATTTATTTATTTATTTATTTATTTATTTATGGTTGTGTTTTTTGCAGGAGGAGGTGGGTATTAGGTTTTTATTTAGTTATTTTAGTGGAGGTGCTGGGAATTGAACCCATGGCCTTTGTGCATGCTAAGTGCACACTGTGCCACTGAGCTATACCCGACCCAAGAAAAGAGTTAAAAGTGAACTCACTTTGCCTTTCCTCCCTCCTAATAATTCAAGTTCTTTCCACTTAAAAGTGTTAAGCCTGTAGAAAAATACTAAAATGACTCCCCACATTCCTGACTTCAGGTTTCATTGTTTTGTCTGTTTTAGTAGCCAGTTTTTCCCTTTGAAATCACATTCTACCTTCACATGAATAGGCATATATGTTCAATGATAAAGTTTATTGAAAATAATCACCAGCATGGCTGTTGCTTGACTGAAAATTACATGAATTTCTACTATTCAGGTTTCTGAACATAGGCACTGAGATACAGAAGTCTCATATGTAGATTGTATTCATTAAAATAAGTTGCTCCTAAATCACTTCACCTTATTGGTTGAATAAAGCATGGTTTGTCATTCATTCATACCTCACTGGTGCCAGCCTTACTGTTGAGAAATACAAGGCTCTTGGTAATTGTCTCTCAAGCTTATATCCAAATGCTAATTTGGCCTCTGTGCGACTGAGTGATGTAATGTCATACTTAATCTTGTCATTCTGGAAGATAACACAGGAGTAAGGAAAACACAGAAGTAATTCAAGTTCTGTCACATTAAGCATGTTCTGTCTCAAGAATATAGGTGTATGTTGCTTAAATATTATCAGGCTTAATCATTCTTCTCATCCACATTTAACACTAGTAAATAATGATTTCTATTTGTAGTGATCATATGTTTCTTTATGTATACCCTCAAATAATCAATTTTGGAGTTTTCATGTTGCCTATTTTGTTCTGTTTATGAAGCATTTTAGTGATAGAAATCTGATAGTATTCTTACTTAATCAAACTTACCGTCTGTGTATGTAACTCTATGCAGAAATGTAACTACCTTGACTTTAAGATATAGGAGAAAAAATAACATAATTAAAACAATCAACCTATGGGAAAACTTAGAATTTTCTTTGAAGTGTCCAAAAAATGGTGGGTTTTTTTTTGTCACCTTAGTATAAATTTAGTTATTATCTAACGAAAGAAGTATGTTTATGGAACCTAATAGAAAAATAGAACCTTTTAGAGGGAAACTTAGATGCCCTATGTTGTCAAACAATAAGTCTAACCTTGTATAGATTGTATTCAGACTTCACATTCTGTCAGCTCAGATTATGTCCTGGGCTTCATTAAAATTAGATCTGTGGTCACTCTGCTTCCTATAAATCCATTATACTCTGCAGACACTTGCTGTGTGACTAGTAATGAGTGACTTTTCGCCCCGAGACTCACATGGCTGAGATTTTGCCATGCTTGCAAAACTCACCAGATCATTATTTCTATAGACATGAGGCTTCACACTGAAAGGACATGAAATGCTTTAAAGGCAGAAATTTATGACTGCTCTTTGGTGTGTATCATCCACTTAGGTTGAAAGGGTGGGACTTCGATAATTTTTAATTAAGGCTAGTAGCTGCATCAGAAGTGAGCCATACTGGAAAATTATAGATGTGTATATAGTTAATCATAAAGGCATGAATTCAAAGTATAATTTTAAAAGGAAACTGTAGAGGAAACTCCATCAACGGGAAATCTGCTGCTGTTTGCCTCTGTTAGTAACCGCTACAAAGACTGGTATAATTATGTGAAATATTTAAGGAAAAATTTATCCTTCGAAAGTGATTTAATACCTATTATTTGTGGAACACAAAAACACATTTTCTCTTCCTCAAAATAAGTCTTTTCTAAATATGAGCTATTTTTTAAATACATTTGCAGGCAGTTTAAAAATATGTTTCCCTGCCAATTAGATATCCCTTTATAATTATACAGAAATATAGGTATTTCTGTTATTCCTGAAGAATTAGTATTTTGTATGTATCATAAATATTTTTAAATTTTTCTTTGGATAAGAAAATTATTGTGATAACCTTAAGGCAAAAGGTCACATTATTAAAACTATATATTGAGTGTTTAGAAATGGAATTATATAATTTTCTGGTGAAATAACTTACAAGACAAGCCCACATGCAAAGTATTCATATGGATTTACAGAATCAATGCTGCAGCGTGTGCATTTGTACTTCTGTTTATCTCAGAGTATACCATTAAATGTTATAGTGAAGATTATATAACCTCTTTTATTAATAAAAACAGACTAAGTTGTACTGCAGTAACAGCCCAGAAATTCAGTAACTTAAAAGAACTATTACGTCTCCCTCTTGGGAATTTTGCTACAGTGTCAGGTAACTCTCCAAGGTAGTCTGTCCCCCAGTGTCTCAGCATTGCACCTCCATTTGAAGACCTGCCTGACAATCATCATGCCAGAGGAAGAAGATAGGGGTATCTGCTGATTTAACAGCATCAGCAATTAAATTACTTCATCCAAAAGTGCTTTATGTCATTTCCACAGACATTTCATTGTCAAAGTAAGTCATATAATCATGACTTAAAGTTGAGCCTAATTTCAAGTGGGGCAGGACTAAATATAGTCCTACTGTGTGCTAGAAAGAGGAGTGCTGCCTACTAGTCTAGCCCCTGAATTACCAGTCGTCTTTTTTGTGTATGTGTATGCATATGTGTGGCACATCTACATCTACATGGGTATCTATGTCCATGTATGTTATGTGATGGAGGACTATTCCATATGGTCCCAGTTCAGTAGATAAGCTCTCTATTGTTAAAATGTTATGACTTTTACTATTTCTTTGTTTCTGTTAAAAGAATGGTAGAGTAATAGAATAGCACTTCCATTTTCTCTTGCCATACTTTCTTTTCCCTTTCCTTCCTTTCCTTTCTAGGTTGTTCCTCTTCCTTTCTGGACAATTTTATCTATAAAGCCATTAAATGGAGCCAGGTAGTTGGGTATCTGTAGCAGCAGGCGGGGAGTCTTCAAAGGTCCAGAGGAGTTTGTCAGAGCCCAGCCTGAGTGAGATGGGCAACCCCAGTGGGAAAAGGGTGGCCTGGCATGAGATGTCAGAGACACTGAGAAGTCTAAAGAGAGGGGTATATGGATTGTATAAGAGGGTCAAAGAATATTTTGGGACAGTTGGCAAACTTGAGTGGGTCTGAGGATGAGATGGAAATAATGTATCAGTGTTAATTTCCTGATTTCCTCATCTTGAATATTAAATTTGCTTCTGTATAGGAAAATACCTTTGACTGCAGGAAATACACACTGAAGTATTTAGAGTAATGGGGCATCATTTCAATAACTTCTTCCCAGTGATCCAGAGGGAAAATTATTGATAATATACTTTTTATTTTCCTATAATTTCGAGGCTGGTTCAAAGTTAAACATAAAAAATAGAATAAAGACAATTTGAATACTTCTATTTTTTATATAATCTTGAGTAATATCATGTAACCTATTATTTTGTGTATCAGCAGTACACAAAAATTGTCATAAAATGATTCTTACTGAAATACTGTCATTTGGAAACCAAATCACAAATGGTAAAACAACTGGCGATAGATAGTTAATATACTGGAGAAAGTAAAAGTATTTCTTTTCAACTTAAAAAAGTAGAATTGTGTTGGTGTGTATCTTACTTCTGTAGCCTTGACTTTTGGCTAAATAAGATTGGTAATTTGCTTTTTGATTTGTGTGATACCTTGAGGTAAAAATCTTCCTTAAATTGTGTAAACTGTAAGAATGATCCCCAAAGCCACTTTAAAATTATGCCAGAAGTTCTAAAAAGATGTGCTCTTTTAACACTTAGTCTGGCATAGGATAATTGACATAAATAGTAGTAAGTTGAATTTGAATAAAAAAAAGTTTAATTGATGTTAGACTTATGGCCTTTGCCATTTTTGAACTTGTGTTGCAGATTCTTAACAAACTTAGTTGAAAAAGGAAAAATGATTTTCAAAATGTTTTCCACTGAGTATAACAACTTCTGTTAATTCTTAATGATAGAGTCAATTATCCTTACAAAGCAAGAAATGAGACAGTATTTATTTTTGCAGAGTTCATAGTGACCTGATACAACTTCAGCCAAATGTTAGTGTGTCTTTTTACCTCCTTCATACATGCATGGAATAGGTGCAAATTGAAATAAAATTATGCCAATTTTTCTCAAATAGTAGTCTTCAAAATTTCTGTTTTACAGTACAAAACATGGAGAACAGGAATGTTTCTCTTTTACCTTGTTTAGTTTTTACAGTTAAATGATTTAATTCTAAGAATCAGGGAGTACTTACATTTCCTAGAGGAATTTGAAGAACCCAGGATCTATTTTATGTGTATATACACACATAACTCTGACTTCTAAGTAAATACTGTCACTCCCTCATCCTCCCACTATTGATTGGGAAAAAGGAGTTCTGCTTCAGTCTGTTCCTCCACCAGGCAAGATTTATGCAGACTCCAGTGAGCCGTCTTCTGCCTCTTACTACAAGGGGGGAAAAGTGAGGAGAGAAGGGGAGCGGTGCTGCAGCAGAGTAGCAGAGTGTCGAGGTTCTCCATGGCCAATGCACTTCCAGTTAAAATCCCCGAAATCGTGTCACTGCCAATGTGCTTTTCACGCACAGTGGTCTGCTATCCAAGGGGTTAGGGCTACAATAGCAGGCAGTTACAAGTATCTTAAGACTGTCGTTCATAGTACACTGATAGCCTCTTCTTAACCTGAGCCCAGTCCACTCCCTTATCCTCACCACCAATTACTTCCCTGTGTGAACTCTGCACTCCAATTGACTGCATCAATATTGCTAATTCCCAGGGTCATACCTCCCTGAGTGCCTTTGCTTTTATTTATTTTTTTCTTCTGCTTAAATAAAATCTTTTCCTTCTCTCCCTTCCCAGAACTCTGCTTGTCGAAATCCTACTCCTTCAGTATTCACCTCAATGCCTTCTTTACTGAGGCATTTTTAGTCACCCCCCAAATTAACGTAATCTTACCACTTCTGAATCCCAATTTTCCTTAGTATCTCTTTTAACATAGTTATTATAGTCTACCTAGAATTATATTCATTTTCTACTACTTTTTTCCACTGTATTATAAGATCTCTGAGAGTAGAGGAGACTTTGAGATCTCTAAGAGTACAGGAACTGTTTCTAACCTCCCAATATCCCTTGAAGCATAGGTGACCATTGCGTATCACATTCAATATGTAGGCATCCAGTTATTTTGAAAAGGTTCTTTTTTTTTTTTTCAGTCTGCCGCTAAATTGTAATGACTTCAGTGCCAGACCCAGAAACACCATAGCTCTCTTAAATGTATCCTAACCAAGCTTTTATGGAGAGGAAAAGTCACTTTTTCGTTTCTAAGAGAGAAGTCTCACACAATAGTTGGTATTTTTATATGAACATGGAAGTTCATTTATATAGCAGAATTTCATCAAAGTATTATAAAGTCTTTCCTTTCAGTGGAACAATAGAAATCCTAGTTGCATTAACATGAAGCATATATTTTTATATATAAGAGGATTTTTTTAAATATATTTATCACTAATTTTGTCTTGGTTGACATTTTATAATTTCCCCAGTAGTATGGAAATATTCCCAGATGTCTGGAATTAGATGTTCCCATAAATAATAAATAAATTCAGTGTTACATCTATCAATTTTTCAACCATAAAATTATTCCCCAAATAGCAGGATGATGCTGCAGTGACTGATTACTCCAAGCCATGCTTTCCAAATTGTCCTTTCATTGTTATAATTAAGACCACATTGGGGCTTATCTGTACAACTATCTTGACGACAGACCAAAACTGCTGATGTGGCTTTAATGTGAATTGAGGCAAGAAAATAAATAGTCTTTATGTCCGTAAACTTAACAACTATCTTGCTGTTCCTGAACACGTTATGCTGATGTTGTGAAAGTTTTTTCCTTAACATTTTTTTTCCAAGCCAACCAGTCAGTTCCAATGTCAAAAACAATTCAGAGTTTTCAAATCACAGTTTACACAGCATATATATACTCAGGGTGAAAATGGGGTAAGTAAAGACACAGATTATTTTGTGGAAGAGCAACAATTTTACTATTAAATATGAAGTTACAGGTAAAATGGTTATGTAAATTAAATGTGTGTGTGTGTGTATGTGTATGTGTATGTATTATTATATATATATATATATATATATATATATATATATATATATATATATATATATATATTTAAAATTAGCCTGTGTTTTCCTGAGAAATAAGATGGCATAAATCTAGAGCCTCAGGGAATGGGTAGGAAGAATGCTCATTTACTTTTCCCCAATCCAATTAGCAGATTTTCAGATTCGTTCCTATTCAAATCCTAAACTTCTTGTTTCCAGGGTCACTGAGCTGTCTGATGTAGGACAGGATACGAACTGTGACAGATATTCTCACCTTCGTGAAGCAGGGGACATTAGTGAAATGCTGTTTAATGCAGGTTATTCTGCTGTTGATCCCATGTTCAGCACTGCCCAAATGATCCTACACTGCAGTTGAATTCTCACCTTAACTGCCTCCTGATTTATTTGCTGAATAGAGGGATGTCCTTAATCACAAGTGAAGTGGTAACTGCAGATCAGCCCAGGATGTAGTTTTGTTTGACTTTTACTCACATCTCAAACTTTAGGGTCCATCTTCCATGTTGAGGTCCCTAGCCATTAAATCACCTTTTCTTACTTTTTTTTTAGTTTTTGGGACTTGCTTTCCTATTGTCTAAAACCCACCTCTTCTCATGCTCAGTGTTTCCTCCATTTACTATCACAAATATGTATGATTAACATAAGTAATATGCAGGGTGAACAAGATAAACAATAAATTCCTCCTGAACTCCGCTTTTAGCAATATATAAAGCTTTTTATTTTCATAGTGGGCATTATAAGTAGCATAGTAGTTAAAAAACAAAACAAAACTGGGCTCCATAAATTCCTAGCTGTTACTGTGGCCATGTCATTAATCCTTATGGGCTCATGAACTTGATAGTTTTTTACTTGTACAGCAGCTATAGATATAAAATGAGGTGCCACCCAGAACATACTTAAAATGGGGCTAGCAGAGTTCCATATTGACAACTCCACACCACATTCTGTTGATTAAAGGACACATCTGGTCTACCCTTTATCATCTCTGTAATTACTACATCGTACAATGGGTGCATTTTAAAATCACTGTGGCCAAGCAGCAGTTATAACACAGTTGTCATTGCTAGTACATGTGAATTTCTTTTTTGTTCCTGGAGACAAAAGCAATCCTATGGTATTCCTGCCAAAAACAAAGAAAACAAAAATAGCTAAGGGCCATTTGAGGAAGGAAAATAAACTCTTTCTTAGCTGCTTGCTTAAACCTTTCATTCATATCTTCTGGTGTGATTAAAAATGCAACAGCATCAAAGCTTAGAGATGGGTACCAGTATCCTGGAAGAAAACCCTGGAGACAACAGAGAACACTCTAAGAAATCCTGCATCACTGACGCTGTGGATGCCACAGGGATGACACTGTTTAAGAGAATACAAACTTGGGTGAGAGTGAGTTAAAAAGCTACTCAAAATATTTAGATTCTGAATGTAAAGAAGTTTTAGGACTACCTTCCCCTTTAATATATGCAAAAGAGTGTTATTTTTTAATCTAAATAAGTCATACAAAGCTATTTCAGTAAGCATACAGTAAAAGTTAGAGTTGATAAAAAGAAGTATTGCATTGTTTAATTTGCAGCCGTTTCTCTTTGTGACACGTAAAATGATGGTCTATCTCAGTCAGTCACATCCTAGATTTGAAGAAATACAGTTTTATCATTACTACGTGGCTTCCCCAATAATGCTATAGAAGATCAGAAAGCATCAATTCATTTAAAAACCCCTGTTTCTAATCACCCCAAGTCCTAATTCACTGAAATAAACAGCATTTTGAAACCTGTAATTAAGACTTTCATTTTGAGGGATAATATTTTAAAACACACTGGATTCTCCCCATCCATACAGTCTCAATGCCCACGTTACCCCAGGTTAGCAGTTACGTAGGCTTTATTTGTATCTCATTTTCAGCTTCTCTGGAGAATAATGTTCTCTTAGTCCCCTAAAACAAATACTATGTCTAGCACTTAGTTTAAGTTTTAAGCCAGAGCATGCCAAGTGAAGTAAGATTAATACTCGATCTGCCTTCCTAGCAGTGTGCTGGTCACCTGTGCTAATAAGTGGCAGGTCTCATTGTTATTGTTAATTCCAAGGAACAGAGAATGGTAAGAATTCTGTTGGCACCATATCTAATCTGTTAATATTGTCCGTTCTTACAGGTGGAGCTCCCTGTCCAAATAGCAGTGCTTTGCAAGAGGTGCGCAGCTGTAACGAGCATCCCTGTACTGTGTACCACTGGCAGACTGGTCCCTGGGGCCAGTGCATCGAGGACACCTCGGTATCATCCTTCAACACCACCACAACTTGGAATGGGGAAGCCTCTTGCTCTGTTGGCATGCAGACAAGAAAAGTCATCTGTGTGCGGGTCAATGTGGGCCAAGTGGGACCCAAAAAGTAAGGGCTTTAGAAAGATAGCAGTAAATCCTGGGGCCAGCCATGCAGGGGATTGGCTCAGGCTTCACTTGCTTCATGAAATTTAGCATTTTGATGCTTGTCCGACCTGGCCTCAAGAGTAAGACCTCTTTGTTTTGAATGCAGCTATTGATAAAGTTATAGCAGCTTGAGAGTCTTGTACCTGGGACCCATAAATTCTGTAGAAGTCTTTCTATGTGGTACCTACTTTCAGTTTCATAGTAGCACTTTCTGCTTTTATTAAGCTAGTGAGGCAAGGAAACAGGTGCTTGCTCTAGACCTGGCTGATCAATAGTGACAGTGTACGAAGTCTTAGCCATGGAGGTCATCCGTGACCTCCTGTGTACCCAGAGGCTGCAGAGGCTGCCCATCTAGTTTAATTGGGAAGTAGCCTACTGTGATCTCGCTTTCATTTCCCCCAGAAAGTACTATATCAAAAGTACTATCTCCCAAAAGAGAGCCTTGGGATGGGATGAGCGTTATGATGAGCAGAAAAACCATCAGTTTCTCAGTGTGGTTATAAAGAGAGTAACAACAAGGCAAACAGTTTGCTAGAGAGGAGAACAAAGACCTAGAGAATTGGTGTATTATATGTGCCTTGGGAGAAGTATAAACAAAAACATGTCACAGCATACCTGGGCTAATCATTCCTTAGAGAAAATTAATAAATCAATTCTAAAAATGTATTTCTTTAAGGGGGAAAAAGCTATCTTTTGAGATTTAGACAGCATATATCTTTCAGAAGTCAAATCATCTTAGCCATGTGAAACAGGGAAAGAAAAACCTGTCAGTTATGTGTTGGCATAAAAATGGCCTCCTAATTTCCAGATACCTGGCCAAGTGCTTAGGTGTTACGTGAGATCTTAAGTATTATGTGTGATGTTAGGTATACTACTTAACAGATCCTGGCTTCAGTTTTCAAAGTTTTTTGAAGGGATTTAATGGGGCGTTGTGGGGAGTTGTAATGTAAACCCTCAAGAAATCTTAGAAACTATTATTTTCTCTTAAAAATTGCAGATACTTCTTAGTGTTTCAGGGAAATGGTCAGAATGTACCTGATATATGACAAAATCCAGGGGATAAATAAGAATCCCATTTTGAGTTATTTTTACTAATTAATGTCCAGGGTTGCAGACGTTAGTGATGTTTTGGCCCATACTTTATTTATGCAGTTTGAAATTAGGAAACGTATCAGAAAATATATGCCCAAAAGACTTAAATAAATTGAGGAACTATTCCACATGCTCAACAGGTAGCCCCAAACCAGTATTTTAAGAGAAATAATGCTAAAGATGGGATGAATCTAACAAAGGAAATTCATTTGCGGTGTATTAAAATTCAGTAGCAGTAACAGCAGAAGCGGAAGTCCCAAGTGCTGGAGGGCTGTGTTGTGGGTCTTGCCGGGACAAGCACCAGGTAGACATATTCACTGCAGAGGGTTGTAACCTGACCGACTTGTCACGGCACAGAACGGCGGGTTACTGTGCTGAGCTTCCACCAGTAAGCTCACTCTGTTCCTGTTTTGCAGTTATTTACCTTCCAGATGTGCTGATGGTATTTCCCTCAGTTAGGTAAACTACAAAATACTTCGCTGAGCAACGGATGTACACGTGCAGAAGCCTGTGTGTGGAAAAGCCTGGTGGATTAATGTCATTAAATCATTCAATAGAAAGGGTATCGTGAAGCCCCATGTTGGGCCACTACAATAATCCATTAAAAATGTGCTTCACTCTTGCAGCCTTTATTCAGTGACCTGGATACAAGTATAGATTTGTTAAATGAAATGGATCTCCTTTGCCATTAAAGTTCTAAAAAATTAAGCAAATAGTGTAAATTCAAAAGAAAATGTTACTGCCCTTATGAGTAAACGCTAGGTTAAATTCAGTGACTGCTTTTCAGTACTTGGTATTTGAAACAAAAATGCAAATAGAAACCTTGTTTTAAACTCCTCTTAATAAAACAGATTACTGGCAATGGTAAAATCAATGTTATTGATCCTGTGTATCCTCTGAGTAACAAACTTCAACTCCTATCACATCTGTTTAATTTGACCTTGAATAAGATCTGGGGCAAAATCGATTCCTTGATTTAAACCACAAACACTAAATACAAACAGTACAAAGGAGAAGAGAAGCATGTTGATGGAACCAATTGCCTCACCAAAGGAAGTCTGAATTCATTTTATTGGATGTAATCTAGGCTGTATAATTTATCTTTGTGTGTTCATTTAACAGCTTTGTTGTTAGTAATTTTGTTCTCCACAGTTAGCCAAGTATCTTGCTGAGGAAATTTCTAAACTGAAACGGAATTTTGGAGGTTGTCAGTGATAACATTGTAAATTTCATTGGTTTATTCAGGGCTAAAATTTGAAGAGTATGTAATTGAGTAAAGCTCTCCATTGTTAAAGTTATAAAATCACCTCACTGAGAAGGAGTGCTTCTAGTAATAATTACTGATCAATAATTCCATAGTTTCAGAAGAATTAACATGATTATGTGTGGGGTCTTGCCATATAATGTTTCCTGGTTAAGAATGTAGGTTAAATTATAGTTCTAGTGATTTATAATCTCATTTGTAACAATACATTAACTACTGTGATTCACATCTGAATTTCTTTGTCGTCCAGGACTTTGAGTAAGCCTAGCAATTAGGAAAAGCCAAACTTACACTTAGCATAAACCAGGGAGATTATTTCTTTTGAAATGTTGAATCTCATATATTTTTTAAACCCACTTTTAAATAAACCCTAGTGTTATAGAATGAGAGAGAAAGGCACGTATCTATATAGTTGAATAGAATGTAATACTTACGGATGAGATAGGACATGCAGATAAAAAATTATAAGATATATCAAAAATGAAGTGTCAGCAAAGTGCTATAAAGGAACTATGGGAAGGAGATTAATGATGTTGATTTTTTTCACTCATAGTTCAGTTCTGAAAACCTGATTAACTTGTTAAAATACAATTTAACTTGACCTACAAAAAATCTGTCTTCTCCTGTGGGGAGTAGTTTAAATCCCATTTTTCACTAATTTGCCAAGTTATTCCAGCAACAGTTACACTGGTTGCTAGGTTTATTTCTTCACTGCCTCTTAGCTTACTTGTCACAGATTCATAGGACCTCAAAAGAGAATTTCTTAGGAATCAGAGCATTAAGTACTTTTCATTACATGAATTATGTTACTATATTTTGTTGTCCTAATATACATCTTCTTCTAGTGTTAATGCTCACGGCCAACACTTGAGCAATAACAATAATAGAATCAGATTGTAAACATGCAGAAAAGAATTATGAAATTTAAAAAAGGAAACAGTGTATTTAAAACTCATACATCAGCTTCCTAAAATTATCTTTTAGGAAATGAAAACTTTATATAGTGTAAGAAACTTCATTGTTTTGTCGTCATCTTTCTCTTGTGTTCCTAATAAATAGAATATTTTTGCTGTATTTTTTAAAACAATAACTTAATTTTACTACAGTTTATGTCAAGGAACACAGTGTTTTGTTTTCCTTTAATTTAGTTGTTGACTATTTTTGTTTCGTTTATATTCACCCTTTTTCCAAAAAATATTGTGACTTACAAAAATATTTAAAATATTTAAAATCCAGTCATTTGAAAGTAGGAACAAAATGGAAGAAAAAATAAGAATAGAGACAGTGAATGAAACCAGAAATAAAGCAAAAATTCTTTTTCATAACTGTCTATACCCTTTTATTATTTTATTACTTATTTATTATGAAATACATAGCTATAAATACAGTATTGGTTATTGAGCACATTTATAGAATATACTCCATTATAAATTTATTTTATGCTAAATATGTTTTGTAAAAGTAAAGTACAGATTAACCCGGAAAATTATAATCAGCAATAAAACTTTAGTTATGCAAACATGTAAAACTGGGTGCTTAAATTGGTAACTTAAACTTCCATAAATTTCTTATAAAGCTTGTTGGAATATTTACATTTATTAATAGGAGAAATTATTGTAAGTAAACTAGGTATAATTATTATATTTTCTTCTCCATAGCACGAGTAGTATTAAATTTACATATCCTGCCTTGAGAAGCTTTATCAAAGTCCAGTTTGGAAGAGTTACTTTAGTTGTATAGTTTTTGTCAAAAGCAGAAAGGATCCTGGAAGTTAAATAAATCAGATTCATGACTGTTCAGCAATTTTAGCAATGAAAATGCTAAGGATATTAAATTACCTGGTTTTCTGAATTCCAGTGGAGGTCTAGTAATTTCCCTTTGCTTTTCCTAGGTGTCCTGAAAGCCTTCGACCTGAAACAGTGAGGCCCTGTCTGCTTCCTTGTAGGAAGGACTGTGTTGTGACCCCTTATAGTGACTGGACATCATGCCCTTCCTCATGCAGAAAAGGTATGATCTGCAGAGTTCTGAAGGCAGTTCACCTAGGAAACCTCTCACCAGGACCTCCACGTGTCTCTGGCTGAGCAGTGTTTTTGATTCTTACATGGCACTGGCTGTGTAATCCTGGTTTGGCACAAATGCCATAAAGTTTTGATTTCCTTCTAGAAAATAATACAGCTTTTAGAGAACCAGACAAGTGAGTTTTATGCCAAAACTGACTTAAAGAACTTTATGATATAAATCAAATAACTTTATGATACAGATCAAAATGAAGGGATTCTAGATGTTATTATATTAATGTTTCCTTTAACGTTAATTCTCGAGGAATGTACAGTGTCCTGATGTGTTTCAAAAAGAACATTCAGTGATCTTATTCGTACTCATGGTTTTCAACCTTCTTAGTGGCAAGAAACAACCATGGGACTAGATGCATACAGATTCAATTATGTGATCCAAAGGATGAGGACAAAGGAAAGAGAAAAATGGCCAAAACATACCTCTGCTAATATTTAATATGCCATGTAGCGTTTACAGGATGAGAATTTGTTGCCCATTTGATTTGGTTCTGATTTTATTACTCACAGACAGAGACCCTTTAATATCATGGCAGATACTTTGATAATTCTTTACCCTCCAGGATAGGGTCCTTTCTCACTGGTGTTGAGAAAGACGTCAGTGTCCTCCAGGTGATAAATGCAGTCACTGAGCACATTTTCTCTCAATGTCACAGATGACACTGTCTCCTGTTTTTTATTTTACTCTCCCCACAAATAAAGACAGTTTTTCTAAAGTTCCTTTTATGCTTTTATTTATGCTTCTTGACTCTTATTAGAGAAATTCAATTAGAAATTAACTTCTAGTTTAACAACTGTTCTTAACTGCCAGAATTGTTTTAAGCCCTGAAGGTATATGAAATTATAAACTTAATGGTGGATTGTTTTTTACAGTGTGATTATTTTATATAGTTGAAACATGAGTTTCTTTTTAATGCTTTTTCTATTCTAAGTACCCTTGAAATACCAAATAAATTAAATCACAAAGTGAGCAAGAACAGAAAATTTTTATTTCAAAAGTCTTCTAAGGCATTTTAAAAACTTTTGGGACAAAAAGAGTTAGTATTAACTTTTAAAAATATGTTAACAGCCTTAATCTTATTGATGAACAGTGTCATTGTCTGATATTTTTATCCAGATTTTCTTCTTTTATCCTCTTATTTTCTTGAAAACTAAATAACATATGATATCCTTCAGTTTGGTCATAATCAGAAATAGAATTGTACTTTCTCATAGGTTAATATTTCTGTGATAATTGTTGGTTATTCATCACTACAATGGAAAAGGTTATTTATTATATGGAATTTATATACTTGAAAATTTTATTTTGAATGGTTTTATACTTGATGTTTTGCATTGGTATGAAATGAACCATTTACTAATAATTCCAATAATTCCATATGCAGTAACATTTATGACATGATTAATGATCTAACACAAATTTAATATTCATAAGTAAAATTTTTGAAAGTAGGAAAAAACTGCCTTTTTTTTCTATATTGGGCATTTCCTTATATTGAGTAAAGTATTTTGAAATAATAATTCTCTTGGTCTAAAGTATTTCAAAGAAATAAAATTAAAAAATAAACCAGAAAAGATTCCATTAAATTGATTCTAGGATAGTCATTCCTCAAAATGAGGAATCAGGTAAAATTTTCTCATTTCATTAGACCTTCATTTGAAACGAATTTGGAATATTGAAATGTGTCCAGGAATTAGGAACCAGTTAAGTAGCCTATGAATTTGTTATCTCATTATACATTATATGGCTAGAAAGGGAAGAAAAGTAGGTATAGCTTACTCATTTAAAAGAACTGTAATTGAAAATCAAATAACATGATTTTTAACTTGATCTCTGATGATGATTTTTTACAGTACCAAGAAAGTGACCATTTGTAAAATAAAAAATATTTTATATGACAAACTGTGGTAACATATAAGACACTTTAAAATTTTTTTAACAAATGAGGAAACAAATAGATCACGAGTACTCTGCATGTGTTAATTAAATTAATATTTATCTGTATTGTATGCATACTTATTGAATTTCTAATTTATTGATTACTGTGTTTAACTAGCATTGATGGCTCTGTAAAGAACTTCAAAGAAGCTTTTGATCACATTTAAAATATAGAACTCTTCTACATAAGGCAGATAATGTAAGACTTAACATGATTCAATAAGTAGAAAGCAGGAAGTTCTAGGGAAGAGATGGGGAAAACTCATTGTGGAAGCAAGTACTAGGGAAAATCTTGTTGAAAAGATGGCAGAAGAGACCTTTTTGAAAGAGAGAATGCATAAAAGAATCCCAAGTGAGGATCAGAGGCATCAGGAAAAGTCTTAGTGACCATGAAAAAGGTGTGTTGTTTGGAATAAAGTGAGATCCAGCTCCCTGGAGCTTGGAGTGTCTGGAGGAAAGTCAAGGTGTGACGTTGGGAAGAGAATGGAGGCAGATTGTGGAAGATCAGATTAGACTTACTCATATGTAGCAGAACACAGTCTTTAGTTTTTGAACATAGAAATGAGTAGTGAGTTTCATCATATAATGGAATGAGTTGACTCTGAGTAAACAAATCTGGTTTGGACACCAACCTTGGCCACATCAGCAGCCAAGTGACCTTAAGCAAGATGCTTAATCTCTCCAGGCCTTGCTTGTAACATCTATGAGCTGTTCTGTGGCAAAAAATGAGGTGACAAATGGTAAAGTGCTCTATACTTTGTGAACCATTGTCCAACTGATACATTATTTGTTGTCTATAGTGAGTATAATTTCTTTTAGAAAAGGCACTGCACACTGCACATGGTCAGTATCTGATAAATGTTATAACTTGGTGTGTTGAAAACAGTCTCTCTTAGGAGTTTAATATGTGTCAGTGGGAAAAATGTTTAGATCGTGATGAAGGAAAACTTACTAATACTAATTTCTGATTTATATTATTGAGGATTCTCTAGTACGTTTACTGATCATTGTTTTAAAAGGCTTCACTGTGTCATTCATTAAACATCATGTTTATTGTTTTAAGTAGTCATTCACTTTTTCACTCTACAGAGATTCTTCAGGTAACTGCACTGTGCCAGGCACAATTTTAAATATAAAGGATATAGCAGTAAACAAGGAAACCAATTTTCCTGCTCTCAGGAGGCTTACATTCTGGTGGTATGAGACAGGAAAGGCATTTAATAATTGTTCTGTCTTGATGCTCATGAAGAATCAAGTGAAGGATGCAGGGTGGGTTAGAAAAAAGATGTGACATCATTCTGATGGTGCAAAAGTAGGCGAGTTAGTAATACGTGATAGATTTTGTAATAGGCAACATGGAGTGCCCATTTAGTCATGTTTTAAAAGAGATTCTCAACACAGTTGCCAGTGTTTCTCCAGCCATGGTCAGCTGCCTGAGTGAAGGAAAGGTGTAGGAAAATAATTAGCATTGATTAAGATCAGGGCTTTTCCAGAAGAGATTAAGAAAGAGTGAGAGGGACAGAGTCAAGTGTGTTTTCAAGGGAGTACTTACAATAATAACAGAGTAGACACTCTAAGGTGGGTTGGGATGGAAGTGAGGTCCTGAAAGGGATGATGTAGTGAAAAAAGTGACTGGGAAAGTAGATTGGCAATCTTGACTGAGTCTGAAGAATTTAAGTAAGATGAACTTTCACCTTTAGTAAAGTAGGAGGACTGGAAGGGGAGGAGGAGTGACCAGAAATTAAGGTATTTAAAGATGAGAGTATTCAGATATTGAAGATGTTATCATCAGGGGATGAACTGAAGAGCTAGTAATTGATGCAAAGTACAGGAAAAGGTCATTGGAAATGAGGAGGTACAATAAGTAATTCAGAGTCCAGTGCCTTGGGTACAATAACCATGTAGATGCCAAAACCACCTAAGTGCTTGTAGGAGTAAGAAGAGAAAGGATTGTAGTGAGGGACATTCTAAAGTCATTAATTAATGAAATGTTAGCAGATGACTGCTACAAAGTGGATAGCTGATTTAAAAAAAAAAAGTTGATGACAGCAGCTTCAGAGGAGTCAAAGGTTTCTAAAAGTAAAGGGAGGGGGAAAGACCCAGAAAGGCTAGGTAGAGCCAGCCTCCACTGGCAAGGAATATGAAGGAAACATTTTCTAAGAAGAGACTGAAGATGAGAGACAAAGTGTTCCACTGGGTACAGTGGTGGAAATATTAGAGGATGGAAAAGAATGAGAAATTGAATTAGGTTATGCACAGTATATATGCTGTGGTCCAGGTGATGATGGAAGACATGCAGAGGGAGTCGGGGATGCTAATTTCTTGTGGTGAGTGACAGGCAATGTGAGATATATAATGGGTTTAGTTGGGATGTTCTCTTGGCGGAAGGTAAATTAAAATGCATGGTGACACTAGATACTAGTCTCCTCTGGAGCTCCTGGGTAGTAGTGACCAAGGAGTGCAAGAATGCCAGCTCAGACTCTGCTGTCCTGTGAGCAAGAGGTTCTGAGAGGCGAGGCTGTGTTTCGTCAAGCTCAGGTCATCTCACCAGAAGCAGATTAGTCCTGCCTGTTCTATTTGGCAGTTCTATGTTGAGTCTCCTAGAACTAAAGGCTTTCAGGAATCCTAAACCTAGTCACTCAGACTTAAAAAGAATAACCTTAATTGTGTATTGAGAAAATAAAGACTAGGGGGTGATAGAGGAGGTTGCTATTGGACAACAGTGCTAAGATGCTTTGTGCACTGGGAGAAGCCTTTTCTGTTTTCCCTGTAGACTGCTGTAACTGAGAAAAAGGATACAGCAGTGTTATAGAAAACTAGCCTTTTGTTTTAGGGAAAATAAAGCAGTGACATGTGGTTAGTTTTTCATTGTTTGGTATGAAATGGGAATAAGCCAAGCGTCATTGAAATTACACTGACTGCCGTACACAATTCAAAAATGCTGAAAAGTTGCATGTTCAGGGATAGATAGCAGCAACAGAAAATTACTTTCAGGAATGGGGTGGTTCTTTTGAATTCAATTCTGTACATAAAATCTGCATTTTGTAAGAGTTTTAAACTTATGAAAATAAAGCTATCCTCCTTTTTAAAATCACCTTAAATAGGTAAAATTATGGTATAGTATTGCAGTAAATGGAACGGAGTAGCCTAGGATTCCAGGAAGAACAGAAGGAGTAATTTGAAATGTTATTCTTCTTTCTCTCAAGATAGGTCTTGACAAATCAGTGCTGATAAAGATCAGTATTGAGTCAAGAGTAGTTTAATCCTCAAACCAGTATACTTATTAACTTCTCCAAATTTTCATAAATTTCTACACAGGGCTTACTAAGGATGGAAAACATTTATGCATATAAATTATTTGTAACTCTGGTCTTTTAAAAAATCAATACTTTTGATCAGATAATACATTTGACTTCTCAAATTCTGTTTGCTCCTTTTTTTTTTCTTACTGCACTTACTGACTTGAAGGCTAAAGGGATTTTGCAGAGGCATCTGTTCTACCTGGCTGCCTTCAAGTAGTACCATGCTAGAATTACCCCCAAAGATCTGAAAACTGCCTTTGCATTTTGCTTCTTGCACGAAACTGTTTCCTTTCAATTTCCTAGCATCTTCACTGCTCCGTCTGCCATCCACCCCACTTCCAGCTTACCCAGTCTTAGTTTTACCTGCCCTTTGGAATTTCCATCAAGGAATTTTCCAGCGAAATGTATCTTTTCATATATATTTTTTTTAAGTGGCGTTACTGGGGATTGAACCCAGGACCTTTTGCTTGCTAAGCATGCTTTCTACCACTGAGCTATACCCTCACCCCAGTAAAGTTTATCTTGAATGTCTTAAGATACCTGAAAAATGCTATAACTGAGTGAGAGATTACGTACCCTCTGAATCTCGGTGGCCCATAAGAACATAATTGTTTTCTAAATATATATTCCCTTTCTTCCCTACCTAACCTAGATAGTATAAACTTTGAAGTATAAACACTACAGAAATATTCCTTTATTTTTCCCACACCCATTATTTCCAATGAATGAAATGATACCTAATTTTTTCTTAATACTAAAGAACTCTTAGTATCCTTGTGCATAATACTATAAGGAAATGAATAAAAAGAAATAAAAGATGCTAAGTAATAATCCAGCTGAGAAGAAGTGAAATAAATGTGTTTGCTCATTCAGCAAACACTTATTAAGACTTTACTATGTGTGATCATTGCTCTAGGTGCTAAAACACAAAGATAAATGGAAACTATATGTGTATCCCCACCACATGCAATAAATTGGGTGTAAACACATCCAGGAAACTATGAAGGTTGTAAAATTCCCAGTTCACCAATTCAAGTTATTAGTGAGGCACCGTCCTTTTCTTTCTTTCTTTCTTTTTTTTTTTTTTTTAACATGTGTTGTCCTCTCCCTTTATCTGCACTCTGATCTGAGGGCTCTGTAACCTACCTGAGCTCTCCAGGGCTGTTTCTTTGAGTGTGCAAGCTAATTTTTCACCTGAGATCTGAGAAGAAATGAACCTCCCTGTAGATAGAAGCCTGGATGTCATAACACTTCCTGTGTAATCCCATTAAACTTCTGCTCTAGGTGTTATGGCTTCGGAATGTTCCACTTTAATCAGGTCACCATCTCTATCCTGTGGGCTGCACGATGTTAACGTATTTGAACTTTTTTATAAGAATAAGTGGACTGCCATTGTGGAATCAATATGGACGTGAAGAGAGTTATCATAGTGTTATATATCAAGTGCAGACTTGTGAAGATTGTGATGAGAAGGCACTAGAGTGTTGCCGAGTTTTATATCAAGTAACTTCTGGCTTTCAAGTCAATGAGCAAAGTAGAACTGAAACACTAACATTTGATTGCTGCCTCCTAATTCTGAACAGCCCTGCGTATATACCAGGTGATGTCTAGATAGGTGAGGACTATGAGCTTCCATCTATAAGGTGCCTCTGATGCTGATCTCGTTGTGCCCTCCAGTCTCCGGATCTCTTGGTCTCAATTCTGTGTCTGTTTTTTCATCTGTACATTAAAAAGGGTTGGAGAGTTATTCACTCTAAGAATTTTGACCACCTGGGAAACAAAGACCTTCTTCTCTGTGCTCTTCCCTCTTCTCCCTGTTAAAAAAACACACACACCTCCCCCTTTCCCCCAATGCTAAACAAATGATAAGAATGGTCATTTAGTTTGTATATTCTTTTAAGAAGATTACAAGCAGATCAAAATATAAGACAAAAGAAAAATAATAGAAAGTGTGAAAAAAAAGGCATGGAGTCAGATAGTGAATGGTGTGGGGGAGGGGAGAAGAGAAAAATTATAAAATCAAAATTAAGGTAAGATCCTGCAATTGAGAAGAAAATGAGCTCTGAGATTCTGGTGAACAAAGCAACTATTAGAAGCACAGTAGATTCTTGACAGATGGTCAGAGGAAACAAGATTTTTCCTATAGCTCTAAACTATTAGAGGAGTTTGTCACCTGGGCCTTAAAGTCATCGTCATTGGACAGTATAATGGATGGAGACGGCATTAGCAGTTTTAGTAAAAGTTCTATTGGCATTTCTTAGATCTTTCCTAGATAAATGACATTTAATATGTAAAATTATAAAATATCTGGCATTCAGACTACTGTTGCTACAATTTTGAAAAGTCCATGACAATATTTTCAAATACTTTAACTCTCTGCTACCCACCACCTCCCCCTCATAGTTCCCTTACTTCGTTATTGGTAGTGTTCCAGCTGTTCACTGACATAGTTAATACATTCATTAACAGTACAGGTTTCCCCGCTATGGAAAAATCCTGAATAAAGTTACGTGCAAACCCTAGAATCTTAAATTGGGATGAGACATAGAAGGACAGTTGTTTCAGTAGGTCTCAAACCTGGCTGTTCATCACAGCTCCCTGGCAAGGTTTGCAAAAATCAGATTCCCACATCCACAGATTCCCACATCCAGCTCCTAAATGTTTTTATTTAGTAATTCTGGAGATAGTCCCAGGAATCTGTTTTTGTTTTTATTTTTATTTTTTCACATAAATTTTCCTATGTAGTCAGACATTTAGGAATCAGTAATCTGATCCATTCTCCCATCTAATACAGGACTCTTCAGTTCACCTTGCTGCCAATCAGGGGCCAGACCGTGTTGAGGGATACGCTGACTTCATGTGAAGGGATGTTCCGTTATTGGAGAGTTCTAATTATCAAATCATATTTTTCTACAAACACAATAGGTTTTTAAATGTTTTATTTCATTTCTGATTAAACTTTTATTGTTGGGGGCTGCTAACCCTTCTAGATTTCTGTTTCTGTAGTCTACGTATCAAATATTTAATGATATTGCAAAATAAAGTAAATGCATCATGGGACTTCTATTAAAGTAATTCTTTAGGGAATTCTTTTGTAAGTGAATTCATATGTGGCTATTTATCCTTAAAGTATATATATAAGTTGGGTTGTATTTTATTAAAGTTGTCAAATCTTATACGTTATCTGTTTCTAATACTAAAAAATTCTGAGCATCTTTATGTTAGTAACACTTAGTCAAGTGACATCTTCATTGAAGATAAATCTTAATTATTTTCATTTTTAACGTAATTTGGAGTAATTTACTTACAGTAATTATTGCTACTTCGAATGCTTCTCTAAATATTCTGCATCTAGGAAGTGACTTTCATTTCACTCCTTACAGCTCGGATGTTTAGGATGCGACCTGAATTGAAGATCCTAAACTGTTTAACATGAATAATAAATGACTAGAATAATTTACGAGTTACACACTTCAAATTAAGTAAATAACAAAGAGATAAAATCTCACATTAAAACATTGAATATATTCTCCTAAGAAAGATTCATTAGATATGTAGGAGCTCCATGTGGTAAACAGGGCTTTGTGAAATAGCATGAAGATAAACTTAAGATAGAGAAAAATTAATTAGTCAGATCTGTCATATTTCTCTAGGGGAAAGTAATATACAAAAGAACAATCACTGTGTAACTGTGCATTAGGAAGGCTTGTTGACAGTGAAACTGTTTTCTCCATTCTTTACATTTTTAAATATAAATTGATTGGCTTTTAGTATAAACGGTCTTGGGGAGAATTGAGGAAATGACTGGACTAGATGAAGCATCTCATTCAGGAATGTCAAAGCACGTGTAGCTGGAGGCTGTGTAATTTCTTCACACAGGCTGGTGGTGTCTGGAGATTGTTTTATCAGTGCAGAGAACAGAGGTTAAATAGTTGCCTCATTGCAGGGGACTCCGGAATCAAGAAGCAGACTCGGCACCGGGTCGTCATTCAGCTGCCAGCCAACGGAGGCCGGGACTGCACGGACCCTCTCTATGAAGAGAAGGCCTGCGAGGCCCCTCAAGTGTGCCAAAGCTACAGGTAACGGAGTGAAAGAAGGGCTTGTGAGCAGTGCACTGAGCAAAATGCTTCAGGTCCGTAATCTTTCTTCCCGAGAATGAGAAAAGGAAGCCAGCACTGCCTCTCAGACTCAGTGGTGTTGGGGATGTTGGTGGCTGCTGGAGCCACCTCTTCCCTCTTTAAAAGAACTGCTTTTCTACTGAAATCATCTTCAGGGACACACAGACTTGTGCAAACTTCCAAGCTGTATTATTAGCTTCAGGAGTTTGGTGTAATTTCTTATGTTGATGACGAAATGCAGAAAAGTGATTGATAATTATGAAACATACGCTTTAGGAAGCAATTCTTTTTCAGTTAGAGGAATAGCCTAAGCATTCCTCCTGTGGCTCCAAAGAGCACCTGTTTCTCATAAATGCTGGCGTTCTGGCTCTCAAAACAGCATCTTTATCTCAGTGATATGCGTAAGATGTCTGTTCTGTTCATCTGTGGCCACCTCAAGGAAAATTAAGGTTATTGAAGCTATATATCATGATTTTGATAATTATTAGAGAAAATTCTTCTCATAACTATTAAGAGAAAGTACCTAATTGAAACTTGAAGTGATATCTAATTGCAGTCCTGACAACGAATGAAATATTACGGCATCAATTTGTTGGGATGTGTGATCACAAAATAATAATGTAAGATGAAATTGATGGCAGACTTGCCGTTTTAATTTATCTGTATTTAATTCTGAGACGACAAACAGTGAAATTGCCTGCTTACGTGATGAACATTAACTGTTAGCCCAAACGTATTTATTGGGGGATTTGTTTTTGCGAAGTGTATTTATAATTGGCAGCTTCTGAGTTCCCCCTACAATGCTAATCAAAAGAGCACTGTACAAAAGGCTCATGACTTGAATGCAACTTTATAATCTGAATGTAAAGTAAACATACCTTATTTAAATGGAACACATCACTTCTGGTACTATCAGGTACATCTGCTGGCAGTCTTAGTCATTAAAATGCCCAAATGCCATTTGTAGAGTCCATTCCTATAGAGCTTGATAATGATGGACTCTTGTCTCCACTGCCCTAGAAAACACTTTTTTATTTAATACTGCCTTTTATAATTCCTTGATGAAGATCTAAACTGAACTTAGGTAGAACTGAGCATTGTCAAATAAATTCCTGTTAGCAGTGGTCGGAGTCATGGTTCCTTGCCCCGCTGAATCTCTGTGACTTGCCTGGCATGTTTACTCCTTCTCTGTGAGGTTTCTGTTCCTTCCTTGTAGGTGGAAGACTCACAAGTGGCGCCGGTGCCAGTTAGTCCCCTGGAGCGTGCAGCAGGGTAGCCCTGGAGCACAGGAAGGCTGTGGACCTGGACGGCAGGCTAGAGGTAGGGGGCCCCATTCCACAGTTGATGGTGCTTTCCATTTCTCCAGCATCTCTAACTTAACCACTAGCTTGATGACTTTCTCTCTGGGCAAACAGAGCAGAGCAGGAATGAATCCACCACCCTCTCGACCTCACACCAGAATACGGCAACTAGTCTTTTTAAATTGTGTCCTTTGTCCTTTGACATTAGTTTCTAACTCCTCTGGTTGAATTTTCCCCTTATTTGTATCTGGAAGGTAATCAGACCAACCTGAGAAGGTTATGACCTGGATTGTACACAACAGCTTGTTTTTGTTGTTTTTGTGTTGGTTTCTGGCTCATGATATTCCTTAACATGTTGCTTGTCACCTTAACAGTCAATAAGAGCCTTACATCCTTGCCCATATGAGTTGCATATGTACGTGCATCTAATGTGATATAATTGCCTAACTTTCCCAGAAAAATCTCAGCAACTCAGCAATGACATCCTAATCACTGTCATAGCTAACCCTGATTCTGTTCATATTTAGTATTGATTTTTAAGCGGCAGATTTATGTGCTCGAAACTTGCCATATATGAACTGTAATCTGTCAGCACTACTAGATAACATGGAATCTTGCAGAAATGAGTAATGGAAATGTTTCCAACTCGCTATGATTATTTACTAGCTGTTATGCATAATACTTACATTTCAAGCTTCGGAACCTGTTATTTATACACATAGCAAATTCAGTCTATAGAAATCACGTGATTCTTTTTACTCATACTGATTTTTAGCATGGAGTTCCTGCTGTACACTTGAAGTGTAGCTAAATATGTAATTGAGTACACAGCCACTTTTCTTTAATTCATAAAAACATGTTTTGCCCTCTCTTGTAGTTAGTATTTAATGATGCAGAAGTCTGAACGTATGGAATAGGATTCCAGGTTTTACTGATTTGATCTGGGACCCCCTTTTCTTTACAGTGAAAAGATTGCTTTTTTTAATTTGAGAAAAATAGCTTTTTTTTCTCCTTTTTCAGTTTTGTTAGGTAGAATTATTACAGTTCGAGAAAAATAGCTTCTTTTTGATAAAAGGATTCTATTTTGATAATTGTCATTTTAGAAATCTTCATTTGAAGCATAAAACTTAGTTTACGATTAGTATTAACTGCCTAGTTTGGGGGATTTTATTTTATATGCTTAATTTTTATTATGAATCCTCCACCATCAGCTTCTGATAAAAAAAAAATAACTGTCTCTACGCTTAGGGAGACTTAGGTATTTAGAATTGAAAGTCATTCTCCCCCTTTCAAATATTCATGGAGAAACTGAGTGATATAAGACTTTCTTGTCATGCCCTGCTAATTCCTCTTTGAACCAAGCATACATTTTCTTACAGTTTGGACCCTTCCACAGAGTTATAATGAAAACAGGCATGAGTTTGAAACTTTTAGCATGTAGTTACTAATTAGTTTCATTAATACGGTGTGAGTTTTATTCACCCCTTTACCTTTCCGGGTCTCGGTTTATTTAGATGGGGAGAAAAAAAAAAAAAAAGAAGGCTGGACCAAATGATCTTTTAGGATTACTCCACTTCCCACATTCTACGATCTATGTACAGACAGCATCCAGGGATCAAATTGTGACATGAAGTTAGGTAAAACAGATGAAACCCATATTTTCGTAGAATACCACTAGAGGAAATCTGGGAAATGGTAGAAGCTGCACAAGTGTGAAAATAACTTCGGTTCTAAACTCTGTATCTTAACTGCGCAACCTTAGTTTATTCATTTCCCCCCTCTGAGGCTGAGAACATAATGATCCTTCCAGTGCTTTGCAAGTATTAAGTCTTCATTAAATGTTAATTTCTTTCCCCTTCCTGTTACATCATGGCCTCCATGAATGTGTGTGTAGGTCGTGGTAGGCATAAAAGCAACAATATTACTAACCTGGGTCTTTTGTGTTATATAGAAAGTGTTCTTCTTGTGATGACCAGAAACCTTTTCATTTTCAAATCTGGAAACCTCTGCTTATTCCTCATCCTGGGTGACTGCTTTGTAATATCTCCCCACTCCCACTGTGGAGAGGAATATGTGACTTCCTCAGTGCCACTTTTTCCTGCCTTTTTGATGGTTCCAATTCATGGTTTCCTATTACTGGAGCCTCTTCCTCTGCCTGTACCTAAACACTGCTTCCTCACCTTTGCATATCTGTCAGACTACTTTCTCTGTCTCAGCAATCTTACTGGCTATCTGGGAAGAGAAAGTTGCATTACAAGTAATTTCTGCACACATATACTCAGAAGGACCCCTTTAACTTCTATATGAAGATAATCTTTTTCTTTGTTGCCATGATAGTTTAAAGATTTTTTTCTCTTAGAGTCTATATTTCGACAGAAACGTGAAATGGGGAGAATTAAGAGTGTAGAACTACCTTTTACCAATGGCAAAAAGGGAAAAGCTTCATCCCTTGATTGTCACGGCTGTTTTCAGAACTGCAAAATTGACTTGTCGAATTCTTGCTGTTTCCATCTTTGCCCTTGTCTAGTCAGAGACTTAAAAAATGCCAACCTCTGCTGTTTTTTGATAATTAAAATAATTTTGTACTAGGGGTTAGCATCAGTCAGCAAAGACTGTGAGGAGGCTACCCCTCCCTCTCTAATGCTTCAGACTTTCTAATTCCAGCCACTCATGTAACTATGATTGCATTCGGAAGACTATGTAGAAAGAGCCACAAGTGTCAGGAAAGGATGAAGATGTTCAACCCAGGGAACTCACGTTTGGTTAGCAAATGAGATTACTGGTAGCATCACCCAACAAGTGGGAGTTAAAGACTGAAACCAATCCATTGCAAAAGCAGTCATTGGCAGCTAAAGAGCTTAAGAAAGATCTGAAGGATAAGCTGGGACTTGACTTGTACCATAGTATTAGAAGAAGTGGAAAGGAGAAACGCATGCAAAATCAGATCAGTTTTATAAGCTAAGCATTTGAGATAAGAAAAACAAAACATTAAATGTGTTCACAGAAAAGTAGGGAGATTGAAGCTCTGAAGATGTGAGCTGGTGCCTGGGGTAATTTTGTAGAGGGCTATAAATGTCAGGATTGGTATTTTAGACCTTGTTCAGTAAGTGGTAGGAGCAAGGAGCTGATGAAAGCAGTGTTTTATCTGTCAGCGTGTAAGAAATAAGTTAGAAAGATAAGACGCATGGGTCTGGATGCCAGCCAGGATGCTGTTGTAGCAATGCAAGGTGGAAGTAATAGGGGCTCAGACTGGAACCAGAGTAGTTGGAATGAGCAGAAATCAGTGGATTTTCAACATTTGATAGAGGAAAATAATTTCAGGACTTAGCAGACAATAGCAGCAGAGATGGACATAAATGAGTTAAAGATAATCACAGGATTCTTTAACTCCAATATTTTCAGCTTGAGAATAGTTATAATATTTGTGAAAATTCTTAGGTGTCAGAGCAAAAGCTAATTTTAGAAAATGTGTTTTTTATACTGTGCATTAGAGGTGATGGCAGGGAAGCTAATTGGAAATATCCAAGTATGCATTAGGAATGTAGAAATGTAGCTGCAGATGTAGCTTAGGAATGTAGATAGAAATTTGAGTAACACTTTCATAAAGGGATTTGATGAAGCTATAGGAGAAGCTAAGATCTCTAAAATATATTTCATAAAATATAGCTGGAAAAGTGTTTATTGTATTTTTCCATTAATAGATTTCTTTTTTTCTCTAACCTATTTGTGTTTGTATATTCTTTAAGCCTTTCCTTGTACCTGGAGAGCTTAACTGATATTAACTTTGAATTCCTATTTTCTTGTGTTGGAAATGACATCACATGAACTAAAATATGATCTAGTCAACTTTACTGTTCTGTGATTCTAAAGACAGGAATTTTTATTGCTTGTCTTTTATCAAACTATTGCTCTAGACCAGTGGTCAACAAACAATGGCCTATGGGCCAACCAATTAAGTCTGCTTTTTTGCAATTAAAGGTTTATTGCAGTACAACCATTTTGAAATTAACAGGATTTTGCAACTTTAAAACTTAAATTACTCTTTAAATCTTAAAAAGAAACTTCAGAGAGCCTTTGAAATAGGCCTCTTTCCTATAATATTGTCAATAAAAGAAATGCAAATAACATAAAATTACGTCCACAATCTATTTAATTTTTAAGTATGTAAACAGCTTATATTTGCTTCATGCTATTCAAGGCACTTGCATATCAACTTTTAATGGAACTATAACCTCTGCTGTCTCTTGTCTCTGCTCTCATTTCTACAGTTCAGACAGCATTTAGAGCACTAAATTATTGGTTGGTCAGTGACTGCATCATTGAAACATAGGTGTACTAGCTGTAGCTGGAGTTATCATTACATTTACATTGAAAATAAAAGACATGGCTCATATTAATGACAACACTGGGCAATTTACGTATTTTGTCTTTATGACTGACCGAAGGGATAATCACTACTACTTAAAATGTACATATATATTATTCCAGTATTATTGCTTTGTGACATATTTATCCCAAAAATGTGATGCAAAAATACCATGGATTAGATGTTGGAATTTCATGAAAATAACCTTGCTCTTGCTCTTGCCCAATCTCTGTGTTGATCTGGATGCTACCTCCTGCCAAGTGTACTTCTATAAATTAGATGGAACCAGAGTTAATAATCTCCAGGTCCAACCCTGCCTGTCCTAATCCCCCATCCCGGCTGTATCCTTGCGTACCAAGGCGTGTTCATTGTAGGGTTCATAGGTCACTGAGATCAGTCTCTTTGTATGGAAGCCAGCATGATTCAGATGCATTCTCAAATCTAGACCACAGAAGAGAAAAAAAAAACTCAGTTACACGCCTCACGTGGCAGGGACCCTCCGGGCCCTGCAGGTCCTCAGCCTGCATCACTTACTGGTTAAAAAGGAAAGTCTAGTCTAGGAATAAATTTTTTTTTAAAGTTCTAATTTTCCCTCCACCAAAATTAAGTGAATTTGTAGAATGTGAAATATAATTATTTAACTACAATTTATG